CGGCCGCGGCCAGCCCGCAGCATGCCGCGCCGCGCCGGGGGAGGCAGGTGACATTGCTGGGGGCAGCCTCGAGCGCGGGGAGCCGCCCCCCGGAGACCGCGGCCGCGCCCCGGCCCCGAAATATGATCCGGGGCGCTTGGATGTATCCACGAGCAGACGCTGACGCGGCGGTGAGGGTGTGCTGCGCGCCCCGGCACCACGACAAGCCCTGCGCCGACTCCGAGCGGGCCCAGAAATGGCGAATGTCCCTCGCCTCCCTCCTCTTCTTCACCGTGCTCCTGGCTGACCATCTGTGGCTCTGTGCCGGCGCCAAGCTGCGGGCCAAGGAGAGGAGCCTCATGCGGGTGGCCGCGGCCGGGGCCCCGCTCCTGCTGCCCGGGGCCCGGCAGGCGCAGGAGGGCCGCTGCGAGCTGCTCCTCAGCAACCTGACCAAATGGGCTGCGCCCGTCCCCCATTGCACTGGTGCCCGGGGCCGCCTCGACCTGGACTCGGCTTGCGCCACCCTCAATTCTTTGCAACGACTCTTGGGCTCTTTCCCTGCCGCCCCTTTCAGGCCCCCTCCCTCCTCCTCCTCCTCCTCCTCCAAAAGGAACTTCTTACAGGCTTATTTTAGGAACTTCAACCTCTCCTTTTGTGATACTTACACGATCTGGGACCTGCTGCTGGGCATGGCCGGCCAGGACAGCTTGGATTGCAGTTTGGACAACCTGATGGTGGATTTTGTGGCTGCTGCGGCCGGGGCCCTGGACGGGGAGGCGTGTAGCAGCTGCGTGCAGGCGTATCAGATGCTGGACCAACACGCTCAGGAAAAATACGAGGAGTTTGACCTCTTGCTGGAGAAATACTTGCAGGCGGAGGAGTATTCTGTGCGATCCTGTCTAAGAGACTGCAAGGTAAGGGCCCCCGGGGGGGCAAGCGCCTGCCATACCACGCTGCAGAAGGAGTTTGGAAGCGCATGGCACCTGGGTGTGAGCCCTGGCTCCCGGGTCCTGGCCCTTGGACTTGCTCTTGGCTGTAGCGATCAGGATGCTGGGGGATTCTGTGCTGGTGTCCTGCTTGGAGGGGGATGCATTGGCAAGACTCCCAGCAACGGGAGAGAAGGAGGTGCTGCGAGGTGGTGTAACAGGCCCCTGATTTGGCCCTGAGGCTGGCCCTAGCAATATGCTCAGGATGCCATGCCCCCCTGAGTTGAACCACTTGCCCCCTGCCTTGCCCCACGGACAGAAGCAGGGCATCATCCCCAGGCTGGTTCACGTGGTACTAGCCCCTGGGTGCAGTGTGAATCCCAGGCTGTTGCCTGCGTGTGTTTCCTCCCCTCCCTCCACGGAGGTACAGCACCCCCAGATCCTCTTTCCCACAGCTGCTGGCTTGCTGCCCCCCAACTGGGGGTAGCAGAGTGGGGCAGGGTGCAGTGCGGGTGGGTGCTGAGCACTAGAGGAGAGCAGGCACAGTGTTGCCTAGGGTAAGGTTTGCGACTGCCAGGACCTGTGTGTGACTTATGGTCTAAGTCTGGCCCAGTGGGAAACAGCCGCCCAAACCATGTGCCTACCTAGGCGGTGCTCCCCTGGAGCCGGAGGCTAGCCAACTCCTTTGCCTGTCTCTAGCTGGGCCTGACTGCCCAGTGGTTTGTAGGAAGGCAAGATCCCCACAATGCACTCAGCCACTTGTTCAGTGCTGTACCAGCTATGGAGAGGAATTCATTCCTTATGAATGGATTGAGAAAAGGTGCTTTCCCCTCACTCCAGTTGGATCAAACCTCCCAGCCCAGCATCCTCCTTTGGTTTTTAATGTATTCCTCTTCCAGTTACCCCAAGCTTTGCTATCACTTCTCATGGCAGTGACACAAGGGGTTAATCCCCAGTGGCCTGGCTCTGAACATTAACATGTTCAAGAGCAATTAGGTGACTAAGCTGAGTTCTCCTGGACTCTACCTGTGCCACCTTCCTCTGGATATTATGTCCAGGAAGTGTAATTGTCTTGCTAATTACAAACTTGCCCTTTCAGAGAGGGGTGTCTTGGGGCCGAGACAGTGTTCTGTACATTACAACAAAGGGGGTGTTTCCACATCACCTCGGGGAGGCAATGGGACCAAATTAAAAAATTAACAGGGTTACTCTTTCTCCGCACTTTCCTGGGAGAGCGCAAAGAAAAACTTAGTGCTGCAGTAATAGTACTGGCAACTCCTTTAGCAGTGCTCTTCCATCCAAGCATATTTTGAGCTAGCACATGCATCCAGAGCTGGGCACAGAGTTGTTGAGGTGACATCTTTCTGAAATGATAAAAAACTGGCAGATGGAGCAAACAGGAGAAAAAGCTACCAGTGATGGGGACATACAGTTGCATAGACTAGGAGTGGCTAAACTGTAGCATGAAAGCCACAAGTGGTACAAGCAGCCTCTATGTGGCAGATCAGGGAGGTGACAGGCGGCTCAGTGGCAGATGGGGTAGAAGGTAGAGCAATAGATCCAGCAGAGGAAGGGCATCAGGGTGGCACTCGAGGAAAGTGCAGGGCTAATTTGTGGCACATCTGCCAAAACCATTGGCCCCCACTGGCATAGACTAACCAGTCACCACTCACAAGTTCAGAGTCATTTAGAACAAACAAATAAAGCAGACACCAACAATCTCTACTGGGCATCACCCTACTCATTTCCACCAGGCCTCACAAAAAGGTGGACTGAAAGAGGGGAAAGATCAGTAGCTTTACAGATTAATCCTATGTGTGTTCCATGCATACAAGTCAGCCTTCGGCGGGGGGAGCACGGAGGTGCTTGTGGGAGCAATGGGTGGATGAGCTGGCATTGTTGGTAGGGTTGACTCAGTAAGATACAAGTACTGCCAAGCAGAGAGTGGTGAATGTGTGTATTTCCTGTGTGCATAATTTTACAATTTTTCTGGGCTCCTTCAGTTCAGAAGGCCAGTTAGATGCTTTGTGTGTGTAATTGCAGTGGGGGAAGTTTGTATAGAATTCAGAGACACAAGGAACCAAAATGCAGGGGATGTATATGAGGGGGAGCATTGCAGAGAGGGAATGTTGCATATGATTTAGGCCTCAGTTAAACATACACATCCCTACTGAACTTACCACATGCTTTGTGGAACTGGACTTTCTACAAAAATAGAGGTGGGGGGAATGGTGTATTTGGAGTTTAGAAGGAAAAGTGACAGCCCTGAAAGCTAAGCACTTGGAAGCAGGGTCCTATTTAATACATATTTTTACCATAGTACATGTGGCAGAAGAAGTTAGGAAAGTAACATGTAAGAAATGTTTTTAAAATGTAGGTGCTGAGGTAGAGACACCAATAAATATATCAAATAGTTTATGAGATTGCTGTGTGTTAATGTGCATCCTTGCATCAGTAAATTACATCAAGTTTAATCAGGTGCATTTGAAAGATAGCCTTAACTCATGGGCAGAGTACCTGACGGTGCTCTGTTTGGGAGACCTGGCTCCTGGCCTGGGTGGCCTTCAACAGGTGACTGAGGCCAAAGTCTCCCATCTTGGGTCCCTCATTTCATATTTAGCACCCTACATAGGCACCTGCTTTTCAGAGGCACTGAGCATCTGCAGCTCCTATGGATTTCAGTGTCTCCAGAAAATCAGGCCACTTATTCAAGATGCTTAAATATGTATTTAGGTGCCTTACTTTAGGCACTCAGATTTGAGAATTTTGACCTTGCCTTCTGTGTGTCTGTTCCTCATTTGTAAAATGAGGCTAAGGCATATGTCAGTTGTTGTGGTGATTAGAGAGTTATGGCCTGATTTTTCAAGGTGCTGGGCACCTGCAGCTTTCATTGACTTTAGCTGTGACAGGTTACGCATCATGGCTGAAAATCAGGCTGGTTATGTTTATAAAGAAACCTGGATCTGTAAAGCCCTATTCAAATACTGGATAATATTGTGTATTAAAGATGCTGCTACTGGCTGTACATTGCTCAAAGAATATCTGTATTTAAGCAATATCAAAGGGCTCTTATAGATGAAGAAAACAGCAAAAAATACAGGAATTGAAGATAATGTTGTGATATCAGATAAGCAAATGCATGATTTCTACATAAATGCTTTGTGAAAGTTCCCTGGCAAGAAAGAATGTAGAGTTTCAGGTAATACAAGTCCCATTCGGTAGTGGGGGGGTTTCTTTATTAAAATCTATTTCCTAACCTGGGTTAGTATATGAATAAGGAGGAACATTTGGTTTTTCTAAGAGAGCCTTTTTGTCACCAGAGGAAAACGCTTTCTGCAAATGATTGTAACTCCCCTTCTTTTGCTCTAGATGAGATAACATTCTCCACTGTGGGGTAAGGGGAATTTTGAGACTTGCTCCTCTGACAGAGTTGGTAGACTGAAGAGAATGATATAATTGTGCCAGAGCTGAGGAGATTGAAGCAGGGAGCAAGTAATGAACCCTAGAGAAAACGCCTCCCCCTGAGAGTGAAATGTCTCCGTGTTAACTATTGTTCTAGTGTTTGTTTGAACACTAGTGAAATGTTCTGCACTGACTGGGATGCCTCTATAGAACAGATATGGTGCAGGCAGCAAGGATATAAACTTCTTCCACATAGTGCCCCTTACCAATGTCCTTCAGCTTGATCAGGAAGAAGATGATATTTAGGACTGTGAGGGTGACTCGGACTCTTGAAGAAAGGCCAGTTGATTCTAGTTGTTGTGGTACTCTTGAGCCTTGGATACCTCCTTATGAGGTACTGGACTGAGACCTGCAATTCATTTCACAAAATGGCTATTTAAAAAACAAATGTAAAAGCAATGCTGTTGAGTTTGCATTGGGACTGGTGAAAAGCTCCACACCTTGTTTGCTCTTCCTGAGCCAGGAAGCTATTCAGCACTAAATCATTTGACTCTTCCTCTAATTAAAGCCTTTCTACCTTTCATAATAAATATTGCAAAACATAAGCCTAGAAGACAATGCAGTCCCAGCTCTACTTGTACGTAATTACCCAGAGACCAATCCATCTGCAGAAGCAGGTATCCTAGTACTGTAGTAACTTCTTTTCTTCCAGGAGGAACAATGCAGTTCAATAAATATCATAAGTAGAGCTCCTGGGGTGAAGGCTGGGTGGGGGGGAACCCCAGTGACTTTTGAAGATTTTATTAGATCTGGGGAATAACCCCTGCCCACTTCCACCTTTAGAACAGGTGATCTGTTTTTTGCTAAAACAACTCTGGTCTTAAGCAAAGCCTACAGATGATATGGTGAAATTTGCAGACCACTGCTCCATGAGAGTGTGTGGTTGCTGGTGAATTTTGGAAAATCTGACTGTTTCACTTCAATCAGAAGACTGAGGACATGAGGCTTGCACAGGCAGTAGGATTGAGAAAAAGCTCTAGGGGGAATGGGAGGGAAAGGAAGTAGCAGGAGCAAACAGAAATGGGGCATTTTTTTCTTGTCTGATCACAAAAACAGCATCAAAGAGGGAGAAGAAGAGTCCTCCCAGGAACACACCTTGGTGCTAATGGAACCCTCCTCACTGCACCAAATCAGGTAGGTCAGTGACCTCCAAATGCCCCATGGGTGGCAGAGCGGGTAGATCATCCCTTATAGTTGTATCATTCTTGGGTGAATGGAATCCAGAACCATGGAGCGATTCAGCCGGAGCTAGCAAATGCTCCCAAGACAAAGGAGATGCACAAGGCTCTCTTTCTAGTGTAGACTGTCAGCCAATAGGGTCCTGCTGTAGCAGGTTTACTGTCATCTGTGTCTCCTCTACTTGCTTCCCTCAGCCCAGATTCACTAGCCCTACTGGGCCCAGGAAGAGATAAGCTGATTGAAAAGCACATGTTTAGTTGCTTGCTGGTTTGTTTGACAAGAAGCAAGGACATACAAGTTGAGCCAAAGCTTCTTAGCAAATCAGCTTCAAACATTTGGCTGTTATC